GCTCGCCTTTACTGTTTCACCTTGGTGTGGTGGGGTCAGATCGGGCACAATTCCCGCACTGTGTCTCCAGTGTTGTTCCCCGTAGGGATATGGGTCAATGAGGGATGTCTTGTCTTGTAGTGGGACGGGCCATATGGTCCTCTCTGTGCATTGGCTGCTCTGAGCAGGGATATTGTCCTCAAGGCTTGGTGGGCTAGGATGTGCTTCATCTATCTTCCTCCCCCTTCATTTGCTCCTGTGTGCTCTGATCAGACATGTCCCTCTCCCTGAGCTGTAGCTTCAGTGCTGTCCTCTGAAGTAAATTATTCTGGGGGAAGGGGAGGCTGGCCACATAGTTGGGATTGGGGCCAGCCCCTCAGAGAGTTGCTGTTATTCAAATGAAGGAAATCACTAGGAATTTACATATCTTGACTAGTTCCATTCTCACACATTGGCATATCACACAATTATCTGAATGTTCTTGTCCCATGACAGTCCGGCTTCTGCTCTAACAGCACTCTGAGAGGTCTTCCCATAAGCTACCACTGGCCTGAGGACCAAATTGCTTAGACATTTTCAGCCCTTTCTTTGCTGGATCTCCCTATTGATCTCATCTCCCTGAAATTTTCTTCTTCCTTGGCTTTTCTTAACCTCTCTGACCAATCTTCCTTTTGCCCTTCTTCCATTTGCGCCTTAAATGTTTCGTTGGGTTCCATTCCCACTTGAATTTGCTTATTCTCTCATCCAACCTACCTACTTCCTCTTTACTAAAACTGGATCCTCTGAGAAACAGACGGTGTTTGAGGTCCTCCTTGCTGTCCAAATCATTACTTCCCCTCTTCTTAGGTCACTGCCCCTGTCCCGCCCCACCCCTTTGAGGTTTATACCATCTGATTTTATCACCCTCCTCCCTTTCCGGTTGCTGTCAACTAGCAAAGACTCACTTATATGTTGAGTGTTTTAACTCCCATTGAACTGTCTTCCCCTTCGACCCAACTCCATTCACCTTTGTCACAACTCCAGCAAACCACACTGTGGCTCCTCATTTGCCCCCTCTTGACCTATGAGCTTTTCTTTTGCCCCACCCCAGCCACACACGCCCATGGAGATCTTGAACCTTAGTGCCTTCAGAACCTGCACAACCTTCACAGCCACAGATTTAGACTTCCTGTTGTGTGTCTGATGATCATCTTCCATCCTTCCAGCTCACTTGCCTAAAGGTCCTTCAGCAACAATCCTTGGACCTCATTAAGACTTCAATCTGTGGGTTTCCTTTTATCCCATATTGCTCTTCTATCTGAAATTCTAGCCCGCTGACTGAGAACCCCTATCTCAGATAAATCCAACGAATGGCCATCTCTTCTTTGCCCAGGCCCTCGTGGAACAGAACCGCTGCTCTGTGGAGTGTTTGGGCCTGACCGAGTGTAAAGTGTGACAGTGGTCTTCTAGCTCATCTCCCGCCTCCGCTCTCACCCCCCTCCCATCTCTCCCTGTACTCAGATGGCGCAGTGACTTAATGTAAATCTGACGTGCCACCCCCTTGTTAGCTTCACTGCCAGTCCATGTCTCTAAAGACTGGTGCTGCTCAGAGTTTCGTGTGAACATGAAGCTCCCAGGAATCGTGTTAAAATGCAGGTGCTACTTAGTAGGTCAGGAGGGGGAGCCTGAGATCCACATTCCTAGCAAGCTTCTGGATAAAGCTGATGCCACTGGTCCAGGGATTACTACCGTCTACACAGCAAGTCGCTGTGTTGCAATAAAACTTTAAATGCATTCACGGAGTAAGTGGTTTAAGGTCTGGGCCCTGCGTCCTCCTTGAGCCCCATTGGTCCCCTTTAACTTGGCCTTTTACTTTCCAGCAACACAGAACTGCAGAGAGAGTCCCTTAGCTTACCTTCACTGAGTTATTTCCTCCCCTCTAACTCTGTTCTCTCTGCCCTCTTTGACAGAAACGTCCATTTTTCCACTTCCCACTTCTAAGACCTGTTGGACCTTTTTTCATGCAAATAATAAAAGAACCTGCCAGTTCTTCAAAGGTCCTGTTGAGCCCGTTCCCAAGGCACGGGGCTGGTCCCCTCTGCCCCACAGTGTCCTCTGCCCTCCAGTGTCGCCAACTGCTTTGTCATCGGTTTCCACCCTCCAGACTTGAAGCTCCTGAAGGATTGAGGTCTTTTTTTTTTTTCTTGTCTTTTTTTTTGATTGAGGTCTTTTTTAATACACTTTTTTTTTCTCTCTTACAATAGTGTTTTCAATAATAGTGTTCTGGGATACATAAGACTTCGTTTTTTACAGAAAATTTGTGTGATTCTGCAATAATAGGTTTCTCAAATGGTTCAATGTAGAATAGAATGATGTAAGTTTTTTTGTTTCTGTACAAAAAAAATCAAGTCTTGTTTCTGTGGCTGGACAATGCTGTCCTTTTTTCCCAATGAGAACTGCAATTATTGTACAGTATTAGCCTGTAGAAAAATGTTTTCTTCTTTTCTTTTTGAACTGTATCTTTAAAAATAAAAACCACTTCATTAGCATATAATCCACTTACCATACAATCCAGTAGTTTAATTGTATCAAGAAGAGATGTACAATCATTACCACACGCAATTTTAGGACGTTTTCCTCTTTCTTATACTCCTTGTTATTAGCTCCCCATTGCCGCCTCCCTCTCCCCCATCACACCTCTATGAAACCATTAATCCAATTGTTACCTCTGTAGGTTTGTCTGTAGCTTTGTACTTACTGATTTGTAGTTGGTTTATCTGTTTTAAGTCTCTCGGGTCCGTTCCCCAAAGACTGGAAGCTCCTTAAGGACCAAATTCTTTTTTAATGCACTTTTGAATTCCCCAGTACCTAACACAATACCCAGTGATTAGTCAGTAAACAGCTGTTGAATTCATGAATACCTCTAGAAAAGACAAATGTGCTCTAAGTTTGCGAACACAATTTAAAGTCTGCTCACAACAGCGAATTCTTCTATAGTACTTACCATGTGCCAGAGACGTTTTATTTTGAGTTGCGTGAAGGCTTACAGAGCAAGTCCACTCTTAATGCGATCATTCAGACACCCTTTGTCAGGGCATTGATTGCTGTCCCGTGATGGACCATCACTTAGCCCACTTCCTCCCTGTTTCCCATCTCCCTTCCTCTGCTTTCCGAACGAACCTTCTGAACCACAGGTTCCCAGACTTATTTGGCCTACCACCCCCTTTTCAGAAAAACATTTACTCAGTGCCCCCTTGGCAATTAAAAACTTTTGTGCTATCTCAGGCCCATAAGCCATGGTAAAGTGTAGGTATATGCTTTCATCGTTCCCCTCGATCATTCCAGCCCTCCCTAGGCCAGATGGCAGTCTCACCCACTTTGGGAAACCCGGTTCTGAGTGCTGTCCTCGGGTAAGTCCTGTCCTTTGGCCCTAACCCGGTTACTTATGCTGAGACCTGCATGTTGTTCCTGTTCCCGTTACAGAGCTAGCTGCTGTTTGGCTGAACATGGATTGAGCCGTGGTGTTGAGTGCATTTCCAGAGGCCAGTCTCTGTCCAACCAAATAACCCTGGTCATTTTTCAGACTTTGAGTTTTGAGCCACATTTTTCTCCCACCCTACCCAGGACCTTCAAGGTGGTCCCTCTGGAGCAGCTGCTGGTGGTGGCCAGGCACCATCTAGTTCTTCTGGTCCCAGGGTTTCGGAGACGCTTGTCTGTGTGGCCCATGAGTCCACTGGACTGACTGTTGCCATGCATTTTTGAGCTTCTTCGCTCTTCTTTTCTCTGGCGTTGGCCTTTCCGAGTCCCCTCCGTTCTGCACCCGGTTGACAGGTTGACATTTTACACACTGATCCACCGGCCTGTGATTTTTTAGCAGGTGCAGCTACTTGCTTCTGTTACAGCATTTCTCCACAACCTGCCGCTCCGTGCTGCATGCTAACCATGTCATTTCCCTGCAGGTGCAGTGGTTAGGGAAGAAGACCTGCTAGAGCAGGCCAGGCTCTTCACCAGAAGCTTTGAGGATGGCCTGGGCTTTGAATATGTGATGTTCTACAACGATCATGAAAAAAGAATCGTTTGTTTGTTTCAAGGAGGTCCTTACCTGCAAGGACCACCTGGGTAAGCAGGATGGCCTAGAAATGGGGGGGTCTGCAGTCCTTTGGTCTCATAGCGCCCGCTCTCCACGTCCTGGAACCACCATGGAGGAAGAAAGTGGGGGTGGAGATGTATGATTCTTGACAGGGAAAGATGGTCATAACATATTGCTCAAAGGCAGAAGGATAGGCCATTGGGCACTAGAGTGTCACTTGAGGGGATCCCATTAAAATGTTAACAGTCACTAGATAGCAGAATCATGAGCCTTACAGCGTTTACATGTTTTTGTTTTTATTCATTCTTTTGTCATCTGCTATCTGCAGTTCCTAAATGTTATATTAAGGAATGTGTATCATATACATTTGTTGGCTTAATAAAAGCAGAATATAAGTTTTCAAGATTACATTTCAGCTTTGTGCTTGCTTGGGCTCTGATTTTTAAGTTCCAGGTTCATTACAAATGCTTAAGACTACACTGTAATACTAGGAACAAAGTGTATTCTGACATATGGTGTTCTGTGAGATCGGTACACTGAATGAGCACAGGCTGAGTGGGTCTTTCCTAAGTAAAGGTGTGGAGATGGATAATTTTTGTATGCATGTGAGCACGCAAAAGAGACTGACTCTCTGTTATCAGAACTTCTAAAGACATTATTTCCCTCCTCTTGTAACTAGATTTATGCACGGAGGGGCCATTTCAACCCTGATTGATGCTACACTGGGTATGAATGCAATGATAGTTGGGGGACTTATCATGACTGGCAATCTCAACATCAACTTCCGAAGGTAAATGCATAAGGACTCTTTTTTTTTTTAAGCGTTATATTGGCACTTCATCCACATATCATACAATTTGATAGTTCAATCTTATCAAGAACTGTTGTACCATCCTTATTACCACAATCAATTTTCGAACATTTTCTTCTTCTCATAGGAACTCTTGCTTCTCTGTAGGTGTCACAGGTCAGGTTCTCCAGCAGCAGACCTGGATTTGATTGTGAAGGGAACACTCCCAGGGGACACTCCTAAGGGAGTAGGGGAAGCCGGCCCGGGAAGGGGGTTAGAAAGCCACCGCTGAGCTCTCAGAGTCCTGCAGAGGGTAACTCCAGCCCAGTGGGGCTGGGGTCCTCTGAAATGAGATCTGCACCTCAGAAATATCCGGCACCAAGCAAGGGAGCGGGGCTCTCCACACTCTCTCACAGCATACAGGCCACTTAGCCCATGCCGTGGGGCCGAATCGGACTCTTACCAACCCTCGCTAGGGTCACTGGGGTATAGGTGTAAATCTTTACAGGTGCACACAGCCTTGTCTTGCTCCCAGGGAGTGCGTAATGGGTTTGAACCCTGCAGTCGGGCCAAAAATTCCCGGGCACTTCTAACTCTGTGATCAGGGCAGAGCACCCACATCCAGTCTAAGGGTTTTATGTAACTTCACACAGACAAATAACAAGGCAGTTGGGTGAGTTATCTAAGTCCCAAGCAACATAAGCCACATGAGACTTTCCAGGATGAGGACTCAGCCGTCTGTTCTGACTGGGCCCCACAAATGGCCACCTCACAGAGTGTTGACAGCTGAAAGCCGGGACTATTGTTGATGAAAGGTGCGCCGCACATAACAAGAACAGACTGCTTGCAGAACACAAACATGGACCAGCAGCGACAGATTGAGGTAAACCGGCTCCTCCACCCCACTGAACAATACAGCAGATGAACTTACTCAGGTCTCTGAAAGGACCCACTCACCCTTCCCACATTACCCAGGGTAGGGTGTTGTGGGCTGCTAACTAAAAGTTCGGTGGTTCAAACCTACTAGCGGCTGCAGAAGGACAGTGAGGCTTTGTGCTCCCATAAGGAACCATTGCACTCTGTCCTCTATAGAGTCACTGGTGGGGGGGGGCAGCTTGGAGGTCACATCTGACCTCTAGCTACACAAGGGAGAAGGAGACTCCAACTGCACATAAACCCAAGCCGGTTGCCTCAAGGCCGAGCTCAGAGAAGCCGCCACCATTCCTCCCTGACCGACTTTTTTGCTGGCTTCCAGAATTCATTGCAATGGCTACACAGACAATACTCACAATTGTGAGAGTTGATTAGGGAAGTTAGCGGTTACCCCAAGTCAGGCTTATTAAGTAAGGATACCATCATTGGTCCCAGCAGCTCCTCTCCTGAGTCAGCAGCCAAGTCTCTCTCTGATCCTTAGCCTCTCAGCCACGTGGTCCCTGGCCTCTGCCTCCAGGCATCAGGAAGACCACCTTGCCGCTCCACCTCACTGTCTCATGTTCTCAGCAGCACAGTCCCTCTGCTCAGCCTTGGCCTGGCTCCCTTGCTCTGACCCATGGTCTCTGGGGCCCCCAGTCTCCACCTCTGCCACTTCAGGCAGGGATCTCAAACGTGATCCAACAGTGGCTCTTCCTTGTCCCGAAAATTCTCTTTGTTCTTGCTTCTGAGATAGCTCACTGTTAGCCAGGGGTGTGGCAACCCATACTGACCCATGGGCTCTCTCAGTGTCTCACACATTATTTGCATAGTCCCAGCCAGTCATTTGATGTGAGTTACAGAGACAAGGAGAGAAGAGCCCTGCTTCACGTTCTCACCTGTGTCCACATCTATAGCCACACCATTGTGCCCATAGGTGATCAATGACTCAGTCTTACTTTGGTTCTGCTATGCTGACCACATCCAAAGTTTTCCCATCATGAAAAATAACTGGCCTTTGTAAAGCACACTTTGTTCACGTCCTCCTGCCTGAACACCCCCCAGGGAACATTTGTCTCTATGTATGTATCGATGCTTGTCTGCTTATAAAAGAAGGACCACCTTACATGTGATAAAATGGTTCTCACCACCCTTTATGATTGTGTAGTATTCCATTGTGTGTATTACCACGCTTTGCTTAGCGTGCATCTGCTTAGGGACACTTTGGTTGTTGTCAGTAGCTCCACCCGTAACCCACTACGCACGCCCTAAGGGCTCCGTGTCCACATTGATTGATTCTTGTGCAGGCATCAGTGAACATGAGAGAGAGAGGGCACGACGAGTTGGAATCGCCGCATGGCAGTGGGTATCCAGGGTCGTTCTGTGTCGTGGGTGGGCACAGGGTGGATCAGATGCCCGCAGGCATCTTGCTCTCCCTCAGCATGGACGGTGTTAGGTCAGGCCAGGGTGGCACAGCTATGTTTGTTCTCTTCGGCTGAGTCTGTCCCCCCGCCCCCGACTAACGACCCACTCTCAACCAGCAGCTGTTGGACAACCCTGGCTAGTGCCAGGGGACAGGGGCCCCTAGACAGTGTATGCCCTTGCCTCTGCTGGCAGCCTCTCCTCCTTCCACACGGGCCTCCTCCTGGCCCCCTCTGGACAGGCTTTCTCTCACCCTCTTGGCATTAGCATGGCCACACAGCCGCTTACTCTGCTCAACCATCGGCCCACATGGGCCCCAACTTGACAGGGCACACAGGTCCACCAGTAGTCACTTGCCTGGAGGCACCTCGCTCTGTGCCATGTGCTGACTGCCCACCCCGACCTCCCTGATGCTCTCTTTGCCACTGGTTCCCTTCTGGCCCTCTCACCACTGCCTTTGCCAATGGGCCCTTTCTGGGCCTCTTCTGTCTTATCAGCTCAGTGCTGCAGCCCTTGACCCATCATGCAGCTCTTCTGTTTGCGTCAAGGGAGGCTCTCCACACGGGGGGCTCAGGTCCAGTGGACACAGGTGCTCCTCTCCAGGCTCTGGTTGACCAGGAGGCTCCAAAACAATCTTCTGTGAAACTGGCTTCTGAGAGAATTGTAGGTTCTTAAACTGACCAGGTCTACGGGGTGGTTTGTTTATGTGGATAGCCAGCCTACCAACTCACTTGGCAGATTGCGGGCAGGCCCATAATTTTGAAAGACTGGCAAGACCAGAGTCAGGTAGGCCATGTAAGAAAACCCATTGTATCCCACCAAACTAACACCAGACCCACTGCCATCTAGTCGATTTTGACTCCTAAGGACCCTCCAGGACAGAGTAGACCAGACAGCTGATCTTTGGATAAGCAATTCTATAGCAATTCTAAATCTGTAAGTACCTGATAAAATAGTACCACAGAGGACAGTCAAGTTGATAGAACCATAGAGAGAAATGGACTCATCCACTTTTACAGATTCCAACACCTTGTTTTCAATTACTGATAGGTCAAGCTGACCCCCAAAATTTTTTAAAAAGTGGAAATTTAATAAATGAACAAAATAATAAGCACCACGTATTGGACATATGTAGACCCCTACCTCCAGTAATTTGAGGAAAATATACTTTTATCCCAAGTAGACAGAACATTTATAAAAATTGATTGCATACTGGACAATAAAGAATATCTGGCTACTGTGAATGAATCAGAGTCTTACAGGGCATGTTCTCCGGCCACATTAAATTAGAAGTCAAAATTAAGGGGATTTTTTAAAATCATTTTTTAGGGGCTCATACAACTCTTATCACAATCCATACATCAGTTGTGTAAAGCACATTTGTACATTCATTGCCCTCATCATTCTCAAAACATCTGCTCTCCACCCAAACCCCTGGCATCAGCTCCTCATTTTTTCCTCTCCCTCCCCGCTCCCCACTCCCTCATGAGCCCTTGATAATTTACAAATTATTATTTTGTCATGTCTTGCCCTGTCTGACGTCTCCCTTCACCCACTTTTCTGTTGTCCATCCCCCAGGGAGGAGGTTATATGTAGATCCTTGTAATCATTCCCCCTTTCCAACCGACCCTCCCTCCACTCTCCCAGTATCACCACTCTCACCACTGGTCCTGAAGGGCTCATCCGCCCTGGATTCCCTGTGTTTCCAGTTCCTATCTGTACCAGTGTACATCCTCTGATCTAGCCAGATTTTTAAGGTAAAATTGGGATCATGATAGTGGGTGGGGAGGAAGCATTTAGGAACTAGAGGAATCACGAGGGGATTCTTTTTTAAATCCATAGTAAATTAGTAACAGTCCCCACATTGTACAAGCTGAAACCAATGGACTTTTTGTTCACCCTGTAGTCCTGTGAAATCCCTGGTCAGGGAGGGGCTTGTTCCCAAGAAGGGATGCTGAGACCCAGGTCCGTTCATTGTGGCTCCACTAGCCTCAGGCTCCGATGCCTTTCTCTACGTGTGACGACAAGAAACAGAACAGTTGCTGTTTCAACAGTTTTCACATGTGCAGTTTGCATTGTGTTCTTGATCCAGTTATTCAAGATTTATTGGCTTTCTTTTGCTCAATGTTGGTGACATCTTTTTGGGAAGGTTTCCATGTTACCTGTTTTTAGATTTACTGAAGCTCTTCGTACTATTCTCAATGTTTTCATCTCTCCCAAATCTACAGTTATGTCTATTTTGGTTCCAATAGTATTCATCTGAGGGGGCTTCAAAAAGTTGGTGGAAAATGGGCTTTTCAAATATCGGAATTTCCCGCACAAAGTTCTAGAAACTCTCTCACAAGTTCTTGCTCATTTTCCTTCATCTGTCTTGTCAGAGTACTTCACCTCTTCAGAGAGCCAACTTTGGGGCCTTTGATAAGTCTCTCTCTGTTTTCTCTTTTATTTTAAAACTTGCTCTTTATTATCACGTCTGTCCCTAATACAAGCCAACATACGTTGTCTAGGAAAACTAGGTTAAGGAAAATTATCTGAAGCCTGTTTTTTTATGTTGCGCGAATCTGTACCTAATCTATGAGTCATATTCAGAAAAGTATACTCTACACACATAGTATCCTCTACCCTGTGTTTTGTGTTTTCTGAGATCCTTTCTCTTAGCCTCTCTATTA